ATACTTTATGACAGCCTCTTCCAGACTCCAGGTCAAAACCCCACCTCAGTGCCAGTAGGGCCCCAGCAGGGTCTGGAATCAAGGCCTAGCCTCTAACCCGCTGTCACTTGCAGCACATCACCAGCCCTCTCAGGGCTCACACCAGCTCACCTTTACTTCCACAACTAACAATGCCTTTAGTAAGTGCTTACCAAAGTGCCAGGGCCTGTCCCTGGATATGAAGACTCTCATTTAAGTTTCATAATGATTTCAAAAACTTGGAGAGGAGCCTTGGCCGGTTTGGCTCAGCAGTTAGAGCGTCGGCCTGCGGACCAGAGGGTCCCAGGTTCGGTTCCCGCTAGGGACATGTACCAAAAAAAAAACCAAAAAAACACAACTTGGAGAGGTAAAGTGACTTGACCTGGGTCATACTGTTTACAGAGACAGAATTCATACTGAAGACCACCTAATTCAAAACCCTCTGCTCCTCGAACATACTGACTTTTTAAATAGGAGCAAGTTCAGCTCACACACTCCAAGCCTCTGTAATTCCCAGGGTTTGAGTCTGTATACCCTCTGAGCAAGCCAAAGCTCTTGGCACTACCAGCCTTGGCCTGGGTCCCCTGGTAGGCCAGGTGTTAGGGTTGGTTCTCCTTCAGACTGGGATGATAGTGGCCATCTCAGGCCTCAGTCCTAGCTCCATCTCAGTTTCAGCTGGACAAGACCTTCCCACCCCTCAGTCCTCAGTAGTTCTGCCACCTCTCACATAGTCTAAATGTCTCTGCCTGGCTATCCGTGAGCATGAAGTATAGTAAAAGACCTGGATCCAAAACAAACCTCCCCTCCAACTAGCTGTGAGACTGTGGGCAAGACATCATCTTCTCAGAGACTTGGATTTCTCTTTGGTGAAATACTCAACCTCTGCTCTGACTAGTTCATAGGGTTGCTGCAAAGAACAATGTAGATTGACTATACAACTTCTCTGTTATTCTGGAAACTCCATCATGCTATCCAAGCATTAGCTATCATCACCACCACCAAACTGATCCTGGTCCTACAGGGGCAGATAAGACTTACGGGAAAAAGAATGATGCCAGGCAGCAATTGGTTTAAGTTCCTGAAAATGCCATCAAGACAGAGGAAGCAGACAAAACAGGGAAGAGCCACAGAAAAGCATTTAAAAGGGGGCTTGCCTGTTCACCAAACCCATGCAGGCCCTGTTGGGGAGCAAAGTCAAGCAAAGAGCCTGACAGACACAAGTTCAGAACCCAGCTCTGCCACTTCCTCTCCGGGTGACCTTAGTCAAGTCACTACACCTCTAGTCATGGTCTCCTGTTCTGTAAAATGGAGCAAACAATTCCAACCTCACAAGACTGCTGTGGGAAGAAAATGAATGTAAATTCTTTGCCAGTACAAAGCCAGGGTAATAGTGGACCTGTTCAGTAAATTAGGGTAATTCTACTGGCTCTCTTCCCACAATTCTCCAGTTTGGTGGAGGCCATGGTCAAACAGTACCTCAGAGGAGACAGGTAACTGGTCTCCTCATTGTTACCCACACACCTCAGGGCCTCCACTCCTACTCTCGTCCTGCTTGAAATGCCTTCCTCACTGGCTCTGCTCCCATTAGCTATCCAAATTATTTTCATCTTTCAAGGTCACCTTTTCTTAGAAGCCTTCCCTGATTACTTTAGTCCGTATCAGTACTGCCCTCTTCCTTCATAGTAATAACAATAATACCTAAGGATTGTCAAGCATGTACCAAAGCACTATGCTAAGTTCATCTCAAGCACCAACTTACTGACTCTTCACAACCATCTTATTAAGTACTATCATTCCCAATTTACAGATGAAAACACTGAGTTTCAGAGACCTCAAGATCACCAACTCAGCTAGTAAGTGGCAAAGATCAGATTCCAATCTATAGCTACCTTGACATTCCAAAGCCTAGGATCTTAATCACTACATCATCCCACAGAACTCTGAGTTGGGACCCCCTTCATATCATGCCTAATTCTAGTCTGGCTACCAGGTCTTAGGCTCCCAAACGGAACATGAGAGTGATCCAACTCCACCTTGCATTATGGCCTGAAAAAAACAGGACACAGAGAGAAGACTTCAGACTCCATCCCTTACTTTAAGGGTTATTGTTGGAATTAAAAATATTTTATAAACCAGAGTCTTTAACTTTTCTGCCTTGAACTTCTGTTCTTGATGATATTCCTGTTTGTCATCTTATTCTTCAAAGCCTACCCTCAAAGGTCAGTTTCTTCAAAAAGCCTTCTCTGTTACCCTAACAGTTAGGGCTGTTTCCCCAGAGATAGGGCTGTTTCCCTGAGGGTCTTAAGTACTTTCTCTAACTCCTAACTCCAATAAAAATACACCATCTAATACTTTAAATATCTTTATCCAGGTCTGTCTTCACCTAACAGGCTGGTTGTCCTGGAGGGAAGTGGTCCTATTCTGCTCTTCTCTGGGAATGTTTCCAGGATGAACCAGGCCCAAAGTTCTCGGCTGGGTTTGCCCTAGGCCGGAACCCCTGGGCAGCGGAACCCCTTCCCAGGGCCAGGGGCTCACCTGGCCTTGGCGCACAGGGCCTTGACTTCGCTCTCCTTGATGAGTTCGCAGCGCCGCAGCTGCTCGATCTGCCTGTCCAAGTCGCTGATCTCCGCCATGGCCCACCCCCGGCGCGGGTCAGAGCCGGGGCCGCCGCCCCCTCCGCACCGCACGGGGGTCTCCTAGGAAAGGCGAAGACAAGCCCGGATAAGAATGTCTGTGGGGGATGCCAGGGTTTTGGGGAGGGGGGACAACTCGATTCTGGAGCTGGCCCGCCCCCCCCCAGCCTCTCCTCACATCGTCCCGCGGCCCAGGCTGCCCCCTGCTAACTGCTGTCGAGCCCCGCGGTCCCGCGCTAGGGACGGTGGCCTAGAGGGCTTCCCGACTGTTACCGCCGCTGTGACTTCGGCTCTAGCTCTCGGGATCCCAGCCTTCCTCCTTCCCTCCGCTTTGGGCCGCCGCCACCGCCGCTTCTACTTCCGGCCCCTCCGCGGAAGCACAGGGAGGCCAGTTCCGCCGCGCGTCGGATGTGGCGTCATACACACCCGCCCCTCCCACGCCGCGCCCGTAGCCCCGCCTCTCGAGCCTAGGCCGGGAAACGAGCGGAGCGACCGGATGTCAGCCGCGTGCGGGCGGAAGTCGTGGTGGGCGGGACGCAGGACCGTTCTGAGGCCGAGAAACCCTGGCGGAGTCACCTCCCGGCTCAGTTAGGGACGCTGAAGCCCAGCCGAGCTCCTCTGTGCTTTGTTACACGCTTTTGTTCCCCTGTGTAGTGCCCCCCCCATTAGTCCCCGAGGAATGAACTTTGGTTCACCGTCGCAGCCCCGGTGCTTAGAACAAGGCCTGGCACTGGAGGCACACATCAGTATTTCTTCGGTGGACGAAGGAATTTCAGCCCAAATCTCTTTCCATGGCCAGAGAAATCTCTGCCAAGGAGGACCTCCTAAATTAGAGGCAGAAAGCCCCCCAAGCCTATGCTCCAGTCAGCATGGCCTCCCTGATTCCAGAAGGGTCCCCTTGACACCTTTCAGTTGCCTTCTGTTGTCTGCAGGTTTACTCTTTTTTTTTTTTTTAAGAGGAAACTGGCTTAGAGCGGTTAAGTAACTGGTTCACATTTGCAAAGTTAAGAATTTGGGATTTGAATCAAGGTTGAAATTTGAACCCAGGCTGTGTTCTAATTGATCCTCTGCCTCTTACACTTTCCAGAATTCACTTTGTCATAAGTCCCAAACTCCTCGAGTGGTATGAGTTCCTGTTTTTCCCAGTCTCTTGCCGCAGGCAGAGGAAGCAACTGGTCCTTAAGCAAACTTCATGGTGTCTTGCACACCTTGCCCCCGTTTGGAATGTCCTCACTCTCTCTATTGACCTTTAATTTTCATTTGCTTTATTTCAGATGTTTCAGAGTTGACGGTAGGCACAGAAGTGAGGGACAAAGTTTTGAGGAGCACTAGGTGAGGGTTGATTTTGTATGTAGACAACATATGCAAATGTGCAGAGAAGGAAAGGACCAAGTTCTTAAACTCCTAGAAGGTCCCAGGCAGTTCTATGCCTATCACTACTACATGGACTTAGTAGGTCCAGAAAGATCGTGATTATTTTTTTTCTCTAGAAGGGAGCTCAGACAGGAAAGGGCCCATATCAGGAAATTTGGGAAGTAACAGGAACACTAGGTCCCTGGTTTTGATTAGGATCTTTAACAGCTGAGAATATCTGGTGTATTTACTGCTGCACCCCAGCCTGGGTGATTGGGGAAGGGTGATTGGGATTGGGTAAGTGCAGGACCCTCATTCTGGCTTCATGGAATGCAGCAGCTCGAGGTTCAGTTCCTAACCTAGAACCTGAGTTCTATGTGTGTGTGCATTGTTGAGGAGGTGTTGGAGAGGATTCTAGGTTCTCCAAGGCTTTCCACAGCCCAAGGAGACTAACAAGCCAGTTCTAATCCCATTTCCTATGAAAATGAGAAGACGGACAAGCTCCACAGTGTAGATTAAGGAGATGTGCATTAATGTTCCTGTTTCCACCAAAAAACAGTGTGATCTCCAACTAAAGCCTTAAGCATAAATTGGGAATAACACCTGCTCAGAACACTTATCATGTTGCCTGGCTCATAGACTCAGGAAATCTTGGCTTTTGTCACAGGGGTTTTCTACCCCCTTGAGTTCTAGGCCTAAAGTGAGGCTGAGCCTGCAGCTTCCTACAACTAGCAGTTATACACGCTCCCCAACTATGAGCCTTATCTGATGCTGCTGGTAGGAATGGTAAGAGCCCCTGGTGGTTAGAAGAAAATTTCACAAGCTCTCCTCTTGAAGCCCTGGGCAATTATAAAACAAAACAAAACAGGAAAATGCTACCCCACCCCTTCACCATTTTCCTACCCAAGAAGAACACAAAACAAGGGCTCTTTCTTCTGGAACCTGCCACCTTCCCAGACCCTCCCCTGACCCAGACATTATTGACATGGACAAGAAACTCCCCCTTAAATAGTTGTTTATTGGCAGTGGGCTGGAGAGGATATTGGAGTTGGCATACACAGACAACACCACGCACCAACGTCACAAGGAAGGCAAGATTGCTGGGAAAGAGCAGCCTGGAGCCCCGGATGAGGCCTTCTCTTCGAGGGTGAGTGTGGGAGGGGGTGGAGCCTGGAGTGTTGAAGGGGCAGCCCTAGATCACCTCTGCTTAGTAGGCATGGTTAGAGATGAAGAGGGATTGGCTGGCTGCTGCTCCAGCCTGACCACTCGGGGTGTACTTTCCTTGACAGGCGAGGCTATTGGCCTAAGAGGGGAGAGGAGCCAGAGTAAGAAGGTCTGTTCTCAGAATCCCATCCACCCCAGCAATCTGCCCACCTCCTGCTCCCTCCTCACCAGTGCTCGCTTGACATATTCCTCCTGAGCAGCCTTCAGGTTCTCCTTCTTTCCACCCCAGGCCTTCAGAGCAGAGGCTTGTAGGGCTCGGCCATAGGAGAAGGTCAGGGCCCATGGCTTTAGCAAGGGGCACTTGTTGATTGCGTTGAGGTTGATGGATGCCTCCTCCTCACTCTGACCTCCAGATAGGAAGGTGACCCCTGTAAAACAAAGGGTGAAGTGGGAAAGGGGTTGTAGTCAGAGACCCAGGGCACTGGTAAGAGTTCCTAGAAGCTGACCTGGAAATCAGACCAGTGGGCATGAGGATTATGGGTACAGTTTGTCTACCCCCCCAGAGAGCAAGATAAGAGTATGGGTCTTACCAGGGACAGCTGGGGGCACTGTGCGGCGCAGTGCAGTGACAGTTGCCATGGCAATCTCCTCATTAGAAAATTTCTGGGTACAGGCATGGCCTGGGGTGACCATATTGGGCTTCAGCAAGGTGCCTTCCAGGTAGATGTGGTGGTCACTCAGAGCCTTGTAGACAGCAGCCAGCACCTAGAGTGGGGCAGAACCAAAGTGGAGTGGGGTGGGGTGGGGTAAGGGCGCCGGAGTCAGCCCCAGGGCCCTTGGCCCAGCTGCCTAGCCCACCACACTGCCCGGGGAAGGCAGGCAACCTACCTTTTCAGTTACATACTGACAGCGCTTCAAGTCATGGTCCCCATCAGGGAGGATCTCAGGCTCCACGATAGGCACAATGCCATTCTGTGGGGTGAGGGACAGAGTAACTCTGAGGCCTCCTAGACTGGACCCCTACCTACAGCTCTCCACAGCCACTGGCCAAAGTCTTATCTCCATGAAGACAGAGACCCACGGTTTCAAAGCGCTCAGCTTTGCAGGGTTGTGGGAGATCCACCCACATAAACCCTGCCCTGCCCCTCTGCTCACAGAGCCCTCCAGTGTCCTCCACAGGCCCAAGCCTGATGATGGGCGACGATCCGGAACAGTTGCTTTGGGGGAGGTAGATATCATGACAGATGGGTGGCAAGCTAGCTGAGGCTCGAACCAAATGAGGTGGAAGCTGGCCTGTTGGGGACATGGAGGCTCACCTGCTGGCAGATGCTGGCATAACGGGCCAGAACGTTGGCATTTTCCATGATGGCAAGGGCTGAGGGGGTGTGTTCCCCAATCTTCAGCACACAGCGCCACTTGGCAAAGTCAGCTCCGTCTTTCTTGTACTGGGCACAGCGCTCAGACAGCCCATCCAGCCCTGGAGAGGAGACGGAGAAGTTGGAGGGGGGCAGGTGACTCCCACTCACCCTGGGCACTCAGAGGAGCTCAAACCTGGGTGGGTTGGTGGGTAGGACAGGGAGCCAAACAGTTCTCACCTTGGGTAGTAGTCTCGCCATTTGTTCCTGCCAGGGGTACCACGCCCTTGTCTACCTGTTGGAGTAGAACAACAATATAAGACAGGTAAACCATCTCTACTACCCTTTTCTTCTCTAACACACTCTCTGCCCCCAACTTAATCTCTCAGGTGGTTTCTCCTGGTGTGCAAATATTTTCATTTATAGTACCAGATCCTATGAGGCAAGATACGTGGGGATATTTGACAGACAGCCTGGGAACCCACTACTTCCCAACTCTGAGCAAAACACTTCACTGCCTTGAGCTTCTGGTTTCTCATCTGTACAATGATGGGTATTGCCTTGCTCTTAGAACTTTGAGGATTAAAAATGTCAAGCACGCCCAGCCAGTGTGGCTCAGTGGTTGGGCGTCGACCCATGGACCAAGAGATCACTGGTTCAATTCCCAGTCAGGGCACCTGCCCAGGTTGTGGGCCCGATCCCCAGTGGGGGGCATGCAGGAGGCGGCCAATCGATGTTCTTTCTTATTGATGTTTCTCTCTCTCCCTCTCCCTTCCCCTCTCTCTAAATCAATAAAGCGAAGGGAAAAAAATTTTTTTTTAAATGCCAAGCAGGGCCCAGTTTTTAGCTCCCCTTACATCTGATCTGAGGCAGACTCCATCCAAGTCTCCAGGCTCCCAGCACAATATTCACCCCCCAGCCTATTACCCTGGATTTCTTTTCCCCAGACTCATCTCAGACCTCACATCCTGAGGCCCGGCCTCCTCACCTTGATGCCCACAACACCACCCTTGGATTTAATAACTTGGGGGAAGGGACGCCCATCATCTGTCTTCTGATAGAGTGTCTCATGGAAGAGGATGACACCCCCAATGCAGGGATTCACGCGGTCATCGGCAGTCAGCAGCAGTTGGCGGTAGAAGCGCCGGTTCTCCTCAGTGTTCTCAGTGCCAATGGACTGCAGCCGCTTGGCAATGCTCCCTGGAAGGGAGTAGCTCATGGTCATAAGGGGTTCAGCCCATCACCCCCAACCCTGGGCCCTCCTCCCACTGTGTCCTGTCCGCACCAGTGGACTCATCTGCAGCCAGGATGCCCTTGCCCGGAGCCACAATTCGCTGAGCAATGTCAGACAGCTCCTTCTTTTGCTCCGGGGTCAGCGCTGGGTATTGGTAGGACATGGTGCCAGTCAGCTCCTGGGCAGAGGAGACATATGGGGGAACACTGGTTAGCTGGGTCTTCCCATGGTCTCCCAATGAGCAGAGCCCTTTGCTTGGAGGTCAGGGCACAGGTTCCCTACCTCCCCTGCCCAACACCCAGCAGGTCTTGGGGCACTTCCTGTCCACAGCTCTCCCCTACACCCAACTTCCTTATACTAGGCCTGCCTCCTGTACCTTTCCTAACTCTGTTTGTTGCTGGGTGTTGCCCAGCTGAGGGTGGGGTTGCATACTGGCATCTGGGGTAAAGGAATAGGCCAGAGCCATGGACAGGTGGCTCATGTAGAAGCTGGACCCTTCTGGCTTGCGCCTTGCCATGGGGTCACCTTGCCTAGAAGCAAAACCGAACCGGAATATTTTAGAATTTAGAGGTCATGCATAAGGCAGAGGGCCCAACCCCCTCATCTGAAAGGACCCAGAAAAAGGAAGTCTGTAATTCAAGTCACCCAGCAACCCAAGGGCCAGATCTGAGACTAGAACCCAGATCTTCTGTCACAGGGATGTTCCTTCCAATCCATCCAAGATCCTGGAGGTGGAACAGGCACCAAGGCCTCAAGGACATCCCAAGGTCAGGCTTCTCCCCCCAGGGTGTGGGAGGGCATTAGGAAAGGGGTGTGGAGAAAACTATAGGGAAAATCAGAGGCCCAGCCCCAGGCAGAGGAAAGGGAGGAAAGGGATGAGTTTTGCGGATCTCACTGCTTAGGCAGGGTAAGAGTGTGGAGGAGAGGCATGCGCCCCACCCATTCCCCTGAAAAATGCTCCTGTGTGCTCCAAGGGCTGCAGCTGTTCCAGGCTCAGAATCAAGGTCACCAGATAAGGAAAGACAGGGAAAGTGTTAATAGGGCAACAGGCGCTGCCAAGGGTTGCCCCTCCTCACCAAGGATGCTCGACTCCAAGGGCAGAGGCCAACCACCCGCTTTCGGGAACCCTGAAGCAGTATATGAGCTGGCCCCCACTCCTCACTGCCTCTTAGGATCCCTCCAGGGGCAAAGGGGCCATAATCTTTTGCATCAGGGGGTCCCAGCTAGAAAAGGGAGGGGGAATGGCCCTTCATCTCGTCCTGCTTCCTCCCCCGCCATGACTCAGCGCGCAGAGCCGCCCGCATTGCGCAGTCAACTGAGGGAGCTCCAGCTGGAGAGGTTTGGGGAGTCTGGGCTGGGAGCTTGCGTGTCGTGGTGGAGAAGTTGCTAGGATCAGGACGGGGGGCTCTGCCCGACCCGCCACGGGCCCCAGGATCCTTCTCCATGGCCCTGACTTTCGCACGTGGCGAAGAGCGCTCACCTGGCACAGGAGAGGGGTAGGTTTGCGCGGTGCAGTGGTGGAGGGCGGCGGGCTGGCGAGTACACTGAGGGAGCGAACGCGGTAGTCGTCACTACCACCCTGGTTCTGCGGCGCATTCCAAGAGGAACGCAGCCTCTTAAGCTCCCGGGTGGGCGGGGAGGAGGGAGGTGTTACCGGGCCTTATAAGGTCACCGCTCCACCCTCCACTGGGTTTTTCCTTTTGCTGGCCCTGAGGCGCCCCGGCGTCCAATGGCAGGCGAAGAACTGTGGGAGCGCCCGCCCCCAAAGGCAAAGCCCGGAGACAGCTCTTGGGCGGCGCCAGTGCTGCGAGAACACGATCCCTCCCCCCATCCTCCTCGGACGTGACTCGGGCCACATCCCGCGCGGGTCCCGGCCCTCCCTCTCCCTTTTCTCCCCGCCTGGCGCGCTCTAGGGCGCCGTGACTCAGCCGATTCGGGGCACTGGAAGGGATGGGGATGGGGATGCTGGGGCAGGGGCGCGGGTGGAGGAGCCCGAGAAGACCGAAGCTCAGGCCCGGCCCGGCCCGTTTCCGGCCTGCGTGTGTCGTATTGTCACTGAATCCAGAGCTCTGGCGTCTGGCGGCCTCGCCTGCAGGCTGGACTTTCGGGCTCTGGGGCCGACCCTCCCTGTGTTACTGGCCCAGGTGCAAGTGGCATAGAAGAGGTCAGAGAGTGGACGCAAGAAGGCGGGGAGCTGGGGGGAAGGGGGTAGGCGAGGAGGCAGCAGTTCTGGGTGACTCGCCCGAGCGGGTGTGGCCACCCCATTCACACCGTCAAGCTCCAGGAGCCGCCTAGGCCAGCCTCTCTCGCACTCCGCCTGGGGCCGGCGCCACCTGCCTGAAGCCCGAGCCACCACCCAAGGCTGGACCTCGTCGGAAGTGGCCAGCGGCACTCGGTCCAAGCCGGTCAGAGCCCATGTGAAACTTCTCCTTGGGACTTGACATCGCACTCCTGAATAAAATCTGTCCTGTGCTGGTCAGCCTCCCAGATACGTTCTGAGCACCCCATCCTAGGTCTCCCCTCCTAATCCAAACGCCTTCAGCTCCACCCCACCCAAGCTCTGTCCTGCTGGCGCCCACCTGGAAGAAGCTGCCCCACCCCACCCAGCTCCTTCCCGCTGGCGCCCACCTGGAGGAATCCCAAGAAGTGAAGAAGCGGGCAGAGCCTGGTCAGCAGGAGTGAGCCAGGCAGCACCCCGCTGGCTTATAAGGCAGCTAGCTCCTGCCCTCCCCCAGCCAATGTCCCCAACCTTCTCCGGTGACCCCTGCCCTTTCCTCACCAGGGATCCCCTGGCAGGGACCTATATTTAGGGAAACCTGAAGCTCCTGACATTCAGGCCAGCATGAGGCCTTAAGTAAGGAAAGGGGAGAGGGAGCTGTGTGCCTGCCCTATTTTGAGGGTGTGAGGAGAGCCCCTGCACACTCACCAGTACTTCAGAGGAAATTTTTTCCTTGGAAATCCAGACTTAGGCGCTCAAAAGGGAAATAAATCTTTGGACAGGGATCTGTGGGGAGAGAAGGGGAAAGGGGACTCAGATCATGTGGCCCTCCCTGCCTCCTCTGATCCTCCTCCCCTGACTGGGCTCTAATGGGAGCTGTTATGATTCTCTGGAGCCCGTTTATTTAGAGGGAGAGCAGATGCAGGCGCTGCACTCACACCTCAAAATAACCAAGAACCCATGGACTGGGTATGCTAGGGTACCCTATATCCTGATATTTTAGGTCCAAGTTCCTCCCATAATGCTGTCTATGGTTAGTAGTGTCCCCCAACCTCCCCTTCAAACATGTGTTTACTTGGGGAGGGGAAGAGGAAGGCAGGGGCACCTGCCAGAGCACTAGCCCCTCTTTCCTTCAGCCCTATGAGGGGGCTGCGGTCTCGCGGGCCAAGGGCTCTCTGAGTCTTGCTCTGCCGAGAGCCAAGTTTTCCACTGCTGGTCCCCAGGCCATTGAGCCAGGCAGCCCATTTGTGTTTCCAGTGGCCTGAGGCCCCTCAGGGAAGAGGGCATGCGGGTCCCGGGGGCTGGCCGCTCCCCAAAGGGCAGGGACTCTGAGTCCTCATCGGAGCTTGATCTCAAAGCAGAGACAGTTGAGGCTCTGGCAGTCAGGAAGTTGGCATGCACAGGCACAGTCGCAGAGTGGGCAGCAACGAGGGCAGTGAGGGGCCCAACCCTGTGGGAGAGAAAAAAATAGTTAAGGAGGAAGGGGAACCAGAATCTGAAGGAAGGAGGCCTGCAAAGACCCATTTGCCCAGTGGAACAGAGAGTACCATCCACTATTCCGGGGAACAAATCAAATCCCTGTGCTGTTGAGAAATCAGCAAGGAGGCACTGTTCCCAACAACCGAATTCAGGAGCTGGAAGAAATTTTTCAGGGGGTTCTCTCTTTCTCCCTACTTTGTAGGCAAGGAGACTGAGGACCAGAGAGATCTGGTCCCACGCTAGAATCCAGGTGTCCCAATATTCAGCTCAAAGAGAGTTCAACTACATTTTTGTGGCCCTGTGCAACTGAAAGTCTGTAGACAGGGAAAGCATACACACAGTGTCCATGATGAAAATAATTTGGTTTTGTGGATTTTTTTCCCTGGCATGAGACTAAACTGCAGGATCTCATTCATCAATTCTGAGCACCTACTCTGTGCACAACATATACTACATTCATGAATGAGTTTTTTACATCTTTCTAGTTTTTTCTTTTTAATGGCAATTTGCATATTAAACATTTTATAATGTTTCAAAAAGTAGTATCACTTTAAATTATCAGAATCTTGAGTAAAGGGCCTTTTTACAAAAGGGAAAATAGAGGCTTAAAGAGAAGAGCAGCCTAGTCGATGTGGCTCAGTGGATTGTGTGTATCCCATGGACTGAGAGGTCCCAGTTCGATTCCTGGTCGGCACATGCCCAATTTGGGGCTCAGTCCCCAGTGGGGGGTGTGCAGGAGGCAGCTGATTGATATGTCTCTCTCACATCAATGTTTCTATTTCTCCCATCCTCTCTCTCTTAAAAAAAAATCTATTAAAAAATTATTTTTTAAAAAGAGAGAGGACTGATTGCCTGCAGGGGTGGGGAACGTCCAGCCCAAGGCCTGCGAAATCAATACCAGCTTATATCACACGCCTCACCAAATTAGCTTGACCAAATATAGCAAGCTAATTTTTAAGTTGATAATTTTGTATGGCCCCTGAATGATGTTATAAATATCCAGTGGCCCTTGGCAGAAAACAGGTTCCCAACCCCTGGCCTAAAGGAATCCAACTAGGGAGTGCTGCTGTGATGGACCTGGCCCACCAGCTTCCGGCCTTAGATCCCCCGAGACCCCGCTGCCTCCCCAGGCCAGGGATGTCAGCTTCTTTCTGGGTTTGCAAGAGCAGGGACAGTTCATCTCCCAAAGCACATCACGTTTCTCTCTGTCGGCAAAGAAAATAGAAGGATTCTCAGCTCCCAGGGGAAACAGAAGGTCTGTCTCTTGGAACAGCATGTCCTTGGAGACAGGAGGGAAGAGCAGCCTACTTCAACCCACTCCTCTTCTGTCCTGCAGCAGAAGTGCTCTAAGACTGCTTCAGGTATTAACTGCAGTCAGGCCAAGCGGCTGGGGTGGGGCATGCCCAGGATGTGTGACAGAAGATTGGCATCTTGAGTCCTAAGACAGAGCTAGTGACAGTCACAGTTGCATAGATCAGACACCGGGCCAAGCCAGGAATAGGGGAATGACCTTTTGAGTAGCCGAGGTTTCGGGGTGCGGTGTCAGATTACTGGTGATATCAGATATCATTAGGGGCTCCAGTGAGGGGAAGGGACATAGTGTCTCCTGGTAGAAGGGTCTGAATTGGGCTGCAGCTACTGCCAATAGAATTGGCTCTCAAGGAGGAGGCTAGAAGTGTCATGGTGGGACTGAGAGCAAAGTGGTTTCATTGTTTTTGATGAAGGTGTGGTTTGGGGTGTCTCTGAGGAGTCCCAGTCTGGGGATGAAGTCAGTTCTGTGGGATTCTGGAGGACCACACTGTCATTCTGTGTGCAACATTGGCAGCTGAGAGAGCTCCCCTTCCCTCACTTCAGAGAAGAGTATTAAAAGCATTTCCTGGCTCTGTCCTTTGGATCTAGTCATTAATAACTGGCTAATGGATTTCTCAACTCTCAGGTGGCTTCTGGAAGGAATCTACTGTTTAAGTACATTAAACAAGAACTCCACAAGGCTGTTAACCCTGCGTTTCTCTAGGCTCTGCAGTTTTTCACTTTGATTTCTTTTGCTTCAATTTTGTGAAGACCAGCCATCTTTACCGGTGAGAGCTCAGGCCGTTTTGAATCTAGTTCAGGCCCAGGCTTGGCTAATTCATGTTTTAAGCCTCAGTTTACTCATCTCTGAACCCAATTCTTTTTTTTTTTTAATCCTCACCCAAGGACATTTTTTGTTCAGATAGAGTGGGAGGGAGAGGAAGAGAGAGAGAGAGAGAGAGAGAGAGAGAATCATTGACATGAAAGGGACACATCAAGTGGCCGCCACCCGCACGACCAACCAGGGCCAGGGACAAACTGCAACCGAGGTACGTGCCCTTAGCGAGAACTGAACCCAGGTCTCTCTGGACTGCAGGCTGACGCTCTAATCTCTAAGCCAAACCGGCCAGGGCTCTGAACCCACTTCTTAAAGTCATTGTGAAGAATCAGTAGAAAGAACTAAACACGATGCATGGTGAGCACTCAGTGAAGGGAGCAGTTCTTGTCACAGCAGTTCTTTACCCCAGCGTGGGGCAGGATCACATGAGAACTTTTAGAAATTGATGAACTCGCCCTGGCCGGTTTGGCTCAGCGGTTAGAGCGTCGGCCTGCAGTCGAGAGAGACCCGGGTTTGGTTCCCGCTAAGGGCACGTACCTCGGTTGTAGTTTGTCCCCGGCCCTGGTTGGGTTGTGTGGGTGGCAGCCACTCGATGTGTCCCTTTCACGTCGATGTTTCTCTCTCTCTCTCTCCACCTCCCACTCTATCTGAACAAAATATCGAAAAATGTCCTCAGGTGAGGATAAAAAAAAAAAGAAATTGATGAACTCCAATCCAATTCCAGACCTACTGAGTGGTGGAGCCCAGATGCCTGGCTTTCTGATACCTGCTTCTGACCGACATGGCTGAGAACCAACCACTGCACTATATCACATGGTTTCTCACACTCGACTATAGTGGCCTGTCCTCTGCAAGCCAGACTTCTCCCCGAGGACTCCAACATACTATGGAACAATTTGATATGCAAGACTCTACTGTGGGATATTGGAGAAATAACTAAACTTCTCTAAGACAATTTATTCCCCTGCAAAAGGAGGATACAAATGCTCACCTATCTACATGTACAGGCAGAGAGCTGACCAAGGTGTGATGTCAAGTTAAAAAGGGCAAGTATACCCTGGCTAATTTGGTTAGTGGTTGGAGCATCGGCCCATGGACCAAAGGGTCGTGGGTTCAGTTCTGGTCAAGGGTGTGTACCTGGGTTGTGGGTTCGATCCCCAAGCCCAATCAGGGTTGTGAAGGAGGCAACCAATCGATGCTTCTCTCTCCCTCCCTCCCTTCCACTCTCTCTAAAAATCAATGGAAAAATATCCTCGGGTGAGGATTAACAACAACAACAAAAAAAAGGGGTGAGGGAAGACAAGTAGCAGTTGTAATGATATAGTATACATAGTATGACCCATTTATACCAAATAATACTAAAATACAGCAATGATATTACTGTATATTATTATATGAGGGTCATACACAAAACACAGCAACCTTGATTAGAGAGTTGGTTTATAAAGTGCCTTGTATTGTCTATGTCTTTCTACATGCACACTTTGTAATCAATGCTTTTTGTGATCAGAAAAAATATATATACAGGTTTTTAAAAATATCCAGCTCCCATGGGTCACTGAGAAAATAATAATGGAACATAGTATTCACTCAATAAATAGAATGAGCTCTGTGAGAGGTTCTGCTTTTTCTTTGAACTACCATTTTCAGAAGTGATTGTATGCCTACGTGTTACACATGCCACCGTTCTCTAGCTGACACCTGTTTTTCCCAAGCAGCTTTCATTACTAGAAATGATCTGATATGCTGTTTACGTTCTTTTGGGCTGTCTCCACCTGACCCAGTACCTGGAATTGTACCTGGCCTAGAATAGGTGCTGAATAATAATTGTTGAACAAAAAAAATGAATGCACAGACAGTGCCTAGATCAGGGCTCAAGGGGCAAGGGCTAGTGTGAGAACTCACAGCTTCTGTGGGCTGGGGGCAGCAGGCATCCAGGTAGTGCGCTGGGCTAGGCAAAGGGAAGTCGCAGGCTTCTGCGCAGGTCCAGCAACAGTCCTGGGGCCTGGAGGCGCCTTGCTTCCTGCAGGGGGAGCTGCAATCCGTGCAGCAGCCTTGGGCCTAGGAGATGGCAGGGCTCAGGATCTGGGCCACGTGGCAGGTAGGGATAGCCAAGACGTGGTTTTGGGGAGAAGGGAAGGAGGATGTTCACCAAGAGACAGCAGAGGAGGAACTCTCTGGTCCCATGGAAGGGATAGATGGGGGGACAAAATGGCAAAGGAGTTTCAGAGTAAGGGCCTGCAGATGAGGGCACAGTTTAACCGGGTTTTTTCCAGAGCCCCCCCTGCAGTCCCCATGAGGCTCACCAGCAGGCAGTGCCTCGTCAGCAGCACTAGGCCTAGCAGCAACAAATAGATGCCCACAGCGATGAAGACGATGGCAGGGATGGGGAGCAGCAGGGAAGGACTGCTGACAGGAGCCGGGGTGGGATTCCAAGGGCTAGAGGAGGCCTGAATGAGCACAGGAGGAAGGGGTGACAAGGACGTAGGAGGGGCTGCGGGAACACAGAAATACCAGGAGGGACACTGAAGTAGCTAGAAAAAGGGGAGGAAAGGCCACCAGATGATGGGGAGACCGTCGATAGGACTATACTCTCTTTTCCCCAAAACCTGCCTTTTCCCCTCTCACCCCCATTTCAGCACCATAAAGGGCTTGTTGGTCATTCTAGACTTTACCAAGATTTAGTGAACTTTCTTTCAGAATGTGTCTCTCCAAATGGACCTATTCTCTGACTCTTCACCATCCCTCTGCCAACATTACTGCCCCTTAACTGTCTTCCAATCTGCGGTTCTGTCCCTTTCTACCCCAGCTGCCCTTGTGTATCCCTCCCTTCCTTACAATCCATCAATGGCTCTGGTGACTCAGTCCAAACTTGTCTGTGACAAAGCCCCGGTCCAGCCCCACCCACCTCTCCCTCCTTCCCTACACTCCATCCGTGCTTAAGTTGAGCAGTCCGTCAAATACCCTATCCTCTCTCTCACCCAGGTCTCTACCCACACTGCTCCCTCTGCTTGTAATGCCTCTCCTCCTTGGTTCCTTGGCAAACTCTTCATCTTGCCCGGAAGGGCGGGAAAGGGCCCTCCTGTGGGAAGTCCCCATCCCTGGCATTCTCTCTCCAGCTCTGGTCCTGAGCAGGAAGGTTTATGTAGAGTAGAGAGAGCCACCTCTCCAGACCGGCCTGAACGCAGGCGAAGTCGGGTGGAGTTTAGGGCGCGGAGGGCGCCGCTCCTGAGAGGGTTAGGGGCCTAGGACTCACGTCCATGGGGCAGGACAGCGCCAGTCAGGTCAGGAGCTGCAAAGGAGAGAAAGTCCCGGGCCTCAGAGGCGGAGGGGCCCCTGCACTGGTGTGCCCACCCCCTTCCCCCACTTCCCGCGATGGCTCCTGGTCCGGACAGTGGGGATGGGATCCGGGATTCGAGGGCGGCACCTCCTTCGCAGGCCCCAGGCCGACCCAGGTCACACCCCTCTGCTGTCCCCACATCGCAGCTCGCTCCATCCACCACCCGCATCACCTGCACCCTCGGCGCCGCGGACCGTTCACGGATTCCGCGCCGCGTTGGGTCCCATCGGCCTGGGCGGGTGCACAGTCCATAAACCTCCCGCGGCTTCCTGCTGTTGCCATGGAGACAGCACGCCGCTCCTACGGCAGCCCCGAGACCCAAAATTCTTCTCCCCTCCTCGCTTCCACCGCTGGTTGTCTGTGGCTACCAGCTCTCTCTCTTTTTTATTTTTTATTGTTTTATCCTCACCCGAGGACATTTTTCCTTTTTTTTTTTTTTTTTTTACAGATAGAGTGGGAGGGAGAGAGAGGAAGGGAGAGAGAGAGAGAAACATCGACGTGAAGGGACACATCGAGTGGCTGCCACCCGCACGACTAACCAGGGCCGGGGACAAACTGCAACCGTCTCTCTCTTTTTTAAATTGATTTAAGAGAAAGAGAGATTTGTTGTTCCATTTATTCGTGCATTTATTGGTTGATTCTTGTATGTGCCCTGACCGGGGATGGAACCGAAATCTTGGTGTTTGAGGACGATGCTGTAACCAACTGTGCCGCTGACCAGGGCAACCAGCTCTTTTTTTTTCTCTCTTTATTGATTTTTAGAGAGAGAGGAAGGGAGAGGGAGAGAAAGATAGAAACAGGGAGAGGGAGAGAGAGATAGTAACATCGATGAGTGAAGACACTGATCGGCCGCCTCCTGCACGCCCCACACTGGGGATCGGGGATCAGGCCCACAACCTGGGCATGTGTCCTGACCGGGAATCAAACAGCGACCTCTTGGTGCAGGGGTCCACGCTCAACCACTGAGCCACACTGGCTGGGCACAACCAGCTTTTTCCTTGAGTTCAACTCTTGGGCTTCCCCGCAGTTACAGCCTGGAAATGGAGACTTCCTGCCACCAGCCTCCTGGACAGGATCCTCTTCATACACTGGGTCCTGAGGAAAGACCAACCCCAGGCGACACCACCGACTTGCTGTGTGACTTCTACCAAGTCACCAAGCCTGCTGAGTCCATTCCCTTCTCTGTAAAAGGGGGAACTACCTGCTTCATAGGGACTTTGTAAAAATCAAAGCTACTTTAAAAATTTTTTTTTTTCATCGATTTTTTTCCTTTCTTTCTTTTTTTTTTTTTTAGAGGGACATAGAAACATCTAGAAACATTGATATGCTGCCTCCTGCATACCCCCTATTGGAGAGAAAGCTTGCAACCCAGGCATGTGCCCTGACCGGGAGTTGAACCAGGACCTCTCAGTCCATGGAGGGTGCTCAATCCACTGAGCCACATTGGTGGTGTCAACGCTATTTGTTAATTGCCTGGAATGATTCTCAATATTTTTTTCAACCTGACCCCTGATTTTTTTGACAGTCCCTAAATTTAAGACTTCATAATCTGATTTCTTCAACCATCAATCCTCCTCAGAGTGATTTCCTCCTACCCACAGCAGATCTTGTTCCTTTTCTATTTTTAAACCTCTGAAGGCTTCCCACTGACTCCAGGATAAGCCCAAATGCTTCAGCTGACTGTCAACACCTTCCAGTCTGGGTCCTGCCTGTCTTTGGTTGATTCATTCCCAAACATACCCTACTGGGGACCAAGCACTGCTCTAGGCTCTGGATCTCCTGCACAGGATAAGGCAGACAAATTTCCTCCCCTTCTGCCACTTGCCTTACACTGAAGGAGGGGGAATCAGATAATATGTAAACAAATAAGAGTGTTTTGTGCCCATCAGTTTTTTCAAGTCCCCACCGTAGGATCTGTTCACGGTTCCTGAGCCAGTGCATAGGGTTTCACAGCTCCACACCTTTGCAGGTGCTGTGCCCTCTGCCTAGAACAACATCCTTCCCCTATTTCCCTTCTGCCAAACTCCTCCCTCATCCTTCAAGCCTCTGCTCAATTTTGCCTCAGGGGGGTCTTTCTGCCGACCTCAGGCAGAGGTGGCTGCTTTGGGCACCACATACATGCTGCTGTTTTATCACTTTACCACAAGGTGTTTGAAGTCCCCACTTCAGTGCCTGGCTCCCCAGTTACACTGTGAGTTTCATTCATCTCCATATCCCAAGCCCTAGCACTCGGCCTGGCCTTGGGGGCCTCCAGTGAGAGTAATCACTCACCCTGTGAATGAATCTCATCCAACTGTATCCACCAACGAGGTGTTGTTATCCAGATGCCCTAGTTCCCGTGGCTGTCAGGGAGCCAAGGCACTCAGACTCCTGCTTCCCTTCCTGACCTTTTTGGTTCTACACACATGCTTGCATTTCCCCCTGAAAGCGCTGCTGCCAGGTGCCTGGTGGTGCCCGGTTCTCCACCCAGATGTACCTCCGCAGCTGCTGCCCTGGGATCCCTCCGAAGTTTCCGGGGTCTGTGTCGCTGGGTCCCAAATCTCCCCTCTCACCTTCAACCACACTGAGAGGTCCCAGCCACCATGAGGCCAGCCCCCTTAGAAGGGGCTTCAAACTCAGAACACAGGAGTCTAGCTGTCCCCAATGTCACCATCATTGACTCTAAGGCAGGATCAGATTGTCTTCTTGAGGCTGTCTTCTTTTTTTTTATCCTCATCCGAGGACTTTTTTTTTTCCATTTTTGTTCAGATAGAATGGGAGGGAGGGAGGGAGAGAGACACAGAGAGAGAGAGAGAGAGAGAGAGAGAGAGAGAGAGAGAGAAACAATTACGTGAAAGGGACACATGAGTGGCTGCCTCCTGCAGGACCCCAACCAAGGCCTGGGACAAATCGCAACCAAGGCACGTGCCCTTGGCCGGAACCAAACCCGCAACTCATTGGTCCACGGGCCCACACTCTAACTGCTGAGCCAAACCGGCCAGGGCGAGGCTGTCTTCTTATCTGCCCTGGTCTTCTTTGCAGAATCCCAAGGCCCAAGTTGAGTCCAGTCCCAGGAAAGGCCTCAGGTGACACATACTCCCTCCTTCTCTTCAGCTCCTGCCAACCCAGAGATGTGAGCCTTGGCAAGGCCTCTGGACACTTCTGTGGCCTGCAGTGGCCAGACTCACGGCTGATGGTGTTCTGTTCCTACCATGAGCTCATACATTATGCAGGAGAATGGACAGTGCCAAGCCAGTAGGAGGAGTGATGTATGCTACCCACTTCGCCAGGGTTCCACTCACTCCCACATCGCACCATTTGTTGGAGGCTGGGAGAAATTGACTTCACAATAGCTGGATAACCATCAGGACTCCCTCTACCTACAGTTCAAAGCTGGAGATGTCAGATATCATCATATGTAGTTTTGCAGTGTCTCTGGGAAAGAGAAAAGGGGTGTGTACTCCCAATCATCGTGGGTGGGTGGGAGACCCGAGACGCAGAGGAAGCCCGGATGAAAGAAGCCTCGGCAGGCCTGAGCTTGGTTGTAGGCAGGGACTCTGTCAGGTCTGATTTGATCTCACACTGTCAGCCCCTCCTATGAACATCAGACAACATTGCCTCCCAGAGTCTAAGATGAGGCCCCGCAGCCTTCTCATTATGAAAATGAAAGTCCTGTGCTTAGGTAATCGCCCTGGGGGAATAAGAAGCTGAGCTGGGCTGGAGCAAGCATCAGTCCACGCCTCTTCACAGACTTTGTTCAATCCTAACAGTAGACCTGAGTGGCAGAAACCTTTTCTCTCTCTCTCATTTTATAGATGGAACAGAGTTATGACCCAGTTGAGAAGAAATTTTAGAATTGGGCAAGGTCTAGATTTGAATTCTAGTCCTGCCGCTGAGCATCTGTGTGACCTTGAGCAAGTCAGTTGAGGTCACTAAGGCTCAGTCTTCCTCATCTGAAAGGTAGGGATTACAGAGGAGACTGCAGGGCTAATTGTGATGATGAAAGGAAATGTAGGCAGAGTATCTGGCATAGAACAAGGGCTAATTAAAAACGTAAAAACTCTTTTTTTTAAATTCAAGCCTTGAATATACTTTTTTATTGATTTTTTAGAGAGGGAGGGAGGAAGGGAGGGGAGAGGGGGGAAAAAGAGAGAGAGACAAGAGATATACATCGATTGGTTGCCTCCCATATTTGCCCTAACTGGGATTAAACCCCAAACCTAGGCATGTGCCCCAGGAATTGAACCCATGACCTTTTGGTACACAGGGACAACGCTCCAACCAACTGAGCCACACAGCCAGGGTAACAACAACTCTTAATGAATATCACAATTGGTATTTACACATATCTCATCCAATCATCCCAGTAGCTCTATGTAGAGGTATTGCTCTTGTCCCCATTTTGTGGATAAGAACCCCAGGACTCAGAGGCATTAAATCACGTGCACAAGTCCTCCTGGCTGGTGAGCGACAGAGGTAGGATTTGAGCCTAGGCAATGGGACTGTGTGTGTATACATACAACTGAGGCTCAGAGGGGCCTGACACTTGACCAAGGTTGCACAATCAAGGAGAGAGAAAGGGCCTGGGCCCTTAGTTTTCTGAGTGCAACTCACCTGTTGTGCTCTTCAGCTTTTTCTCTTGCACAGCTGAAGGGTGGGACCAGACTTGTTTGGAACAGTACCTAACCCGGGACCGGTACAATTAAAGCATTAAATAATAAATGTTCTGGCACGCTGGCCAGGGCTCTCCCCAGAGCACGGTCTGGGGAATTGGACCCTTCCCTGGGTATCATGTGGGAAACAGGCCACTTCTGGCTGCTTATTGTTTACTTATTCACAGCCTTCGGTGGTATCACCCCTGCACACCTCTGCAGGGCGGGGGCTGCGCTGCACCAGGTATGAAGAGGATGAACAAGAAAGCATTCGGACAGAGGAGCCTGAAGTAGCAGGAAACGGTAAACTTCAGGCCCAGGGTGAATTGTGTGACACTCTGTGAGGACAGCGTGGGGGTGAGAGACCCACCTGGGGAGCTAGGCTAAGTGGGAAGTGGGCCTAGCCGTGGGAGCCTGGACTGGCACTGGGGCAGTGGGTGCCACCCTACGCTGCCCCCTGTGAGCGCTGCCTTCCAAAGGTGGGCGGGTGGGCGAGGCTGCACCCCTGTGCCAGAACTGGCTGGCCTCGTTCCCCTTCCCGCAGGGATGTTTGGACACTCCCGGATAAGGTGTGTGGAATGCATATCTTGGGTTTATTTTAGGAGGTAC